CAATAGTAAAATCATAAGAAATTGCTTTATCAAAATCATCTGTAATTGGCAGTAGGGGGCTGCTGCCCCTCTTGCAGCGTCTCATGCAGACATAATACAGTTTCCATAGAGTTTGTGGATTTAATTCTCCATGCAACTCTGCCATACAATGCAGATTTGAGGACTGACACACTATGGGAACCTTAATCTATCCTTCCTTTCCATGACTATCTAGATGCAATAGGGAGAAGGGAGAAGACCAAATTCCTTGTACACTTACAGAAGGCAAGACAGAAACTGTGTAGAAACTCCTTCTGTAAGGTTAGCATATACAGAAATGTGAAAAACAAGGAGGAAGACAGTAGCTAGAAGAATCAGATGCCACTTCATAATAATCAGTAGTTCGCAAGTACCTCAATTTCTTTCTGTCTTCGCTTAACAAATGACATCTTCTCTTCATCTGCCTTTTGTTCCCACTGCAATTTTTCCTGCTGTTGAATCAACATTGCTACTCTTTTTCTCACTAATTCTTTCAGCTCTTTATATCTACTTAGCTGGGTATAAGAGTACACAGACATTTCCAAGTGAGCCAATTTATAACTGCATGCATCAAAGATAAGGTAATACATAGTATGACACTTTCCAAACATAGTCCCTTGAAAATACTTAACACCCCTGTTTCCTGGTTTGCAGGAAAGGGGGAGCTGATGGCTAAGTGTGATATTCAGTCTGCCTTCAGGCTGCTGCTGATACAACCAGATGATTTTTGCCTCCTAGGTTTCAAATTTCAGGGGTTCTGCACAGCGTCTGAGACATTCAGTACCTTTTTGGAATGGGCTGCCAGGTCCCGGGCTGGTATCTTGATCATGGGGGGACTCAACTTGCGCTAGACATTTGCAGGTTTTTCAAACTTTGGCCAACAAGCTCGGAGTTCTGCTAGCAGCGGACAAAACTGAGGGGCCAGCATCCCATTTGACGTATCTGGGAATTCAACTGGACTCCATAGCGGGAACTTCCAGGCTGCCTGATGATAACTTCTTGGCCCTGCAGGCCCTCATAACCATGGTGTGGACAAGGTCTAAATGCACGTTGCGCGAGATGCAATTGCTGGTGGTCCATCTGAACTTGGCCTGCAGGGTGGTAGCACCAGGCAAGGCCTTTTGTGCTCATTTAGCCAGAGCAACAGAGGGAGCACAGGCCCCTCATCACATTAGGATCACCACCGGCTAGGAACAGCATCTGTGCACTCTTTAGCCTTGACCAAAAGTTGCACATTAGTCTGACTCACCCTTGTACCTTGGTCTCTCTCAACTTTAAAGTATATTTTATATCCTGGTTTAGGCATATTACTGTGTTACCAGCTCCTGACAGGATAGCAAGCAAAAGATAACAGAAATTTCTTTCATATACCTATTCTGTGGGATTGAGTTCAGTTCAGGAATCAAGATCATACCCTACAGACACCTGTCTGACACATGTATTTATTTAGGTTTATATTCCGCCCTATCCCAAAAATGGGCTCAGGGTGGCTCACAACAATTGGGATCAAGGTGAATAATAATTTTGTTGTTGTTCAGTCGCACAGTCGAGTCCGACTCTTCGCGACCCCATGGACCAGCTCCCGCCAGGCCCTCCTGTCTTCCGCCGTCTTCTGAAGTTGGTTCAATTTCATGTTCGTTGCATCGATGACACTGTCTAACCATCTCATGAATTATTCAATTATTATTGAATAATACAATACAATAAAATCAAGTTAGAACAATCAAGCAGCAAAACAAGATGGCAGCAAAACAAGATAAAAACTCCAGGGCAGTCCTTAATGTCTCCTGTAGGATGTTTAATTCAATGATGTGTTTCTTTGGTCATTTCTGCGTACAGGGGAGGCTGAGATGGACTGACCCGTCTGCCACCTCAGTCTGGTTGAACAGCTCTGTTTTACAGGCCCTGCAGAACTGTAACAAGTCCCACCAAGGCCCTGATCTCACATGGGAGACCACACAAGGGAACAAAGACTGTTTCAAAATTCACCTGAACAAAATCTGAGTCCAGTGGCACCTTTAAGATCAACAAAGATTTATTCAGTGCATGAGCTTTCATGTGCATGCACTTCCTCAGATACAATGAAATGGAATTTACCAATCCATACACAAAGGCAGAGGATGAACAGTAAATTAGCATGCAACATAATGAGGATATTTATCAGATTCAGGAATAATTCAAAATTCACCTGACTTTCTCCCAGCAGAACATCTGTCTCCCGCTGAAACGTCTCCTCTTCAACCTTTTTTTCAAATGCTCTCCATGCTTTATCAATATCTATCAGCTCTCCCTCCAGTTCTTTTTTGCTTTCTTCTTGCTTACCTTGTTGTTTCATATGGTCTTTTAAGACTTTCTTAGCCATGTCTACTTTTTTAATTTGGTGAGAGGTTCTCTCTTTTGCTTTTATATACCGAGATTTCTTTTGATTCAGCAAAACTTCCAGAGATCTAAGAAGATGATATATTTATCAACTGTCAGAAAAATTGCCTTGTGAGAACTCATGAAATGATTTTGAAAGGCTCAACTGTTTTTTCCTCCAGGACCAGAAACTCCAAGCAACAAAGAACTGCAATATGCAAGAAGCCACTTATCTAAAACTGAGTCTACAATCTATGGACTACCCTCACCAAAGTAGCATTATGGGGAGGAAAATTTCTTTTTCTGAAATTCACTATTTTAGACATAGACATTGATAATTCTTATTTTCTTTTAAAAGAGGGATTTCTGTTTCATTTTTTTTAAGAGAAATCAATGCACCCTTTTGCAACTTGAATCCTTGCATACGATTTATATTATGCACCACAGGGTGTTGCTCTAGCAGGAGGACAGGAATATGTGGGAAAACACTACCTGCCTCTGAGTCTCTACAGAGCAGAATTCTGAAATTTTGCAAAACCATCTTTCCTGTCCTCTTCTCTGTGAATTTCTCTTAGCAAAATGGAACTGATCAGAAAGAGGAAAAGAAACATATTTTTGGATTTCAGGGAGAACCTGGGTAAAGAGGAATTAATAGACTCTCTCCATGTTACTCCAAAACATAGTGGATTCTGAACTTCTGACCAGCAAACAAGGAGAAGATGAATCAATGTTCTTCATTTTTTATACCTGTTGCTGGATGTTTGTAATTCTCAATACAAAATCAAAGAATGATTCAACAATTTACTCAAGCTACTTAAAATATATTTCTGGCCAATAAAATATACTGGATACTACTCTACCATCTAAGACCATTCCAAGGGAGTACTATAAATTTTGTAATAAAGGCACAAAAAAACAGAAGGGAAAAAATGATATAACGAATCTAGTGAAATTGAATATTCCATAGTAAGTACAGTTTCTTTCAGTCAGTGGAGGCGGAAATGCAGGCTGGGTTCCTTGCCTCTCTTCTTCCACAAGAAGCACCATTAAGTAAGCTGAGCATTTATCCCTACCAGTGGGAGGAAGAACATCCCAGTTAAGAGATCAAAGTGACAGAAAAGGCATGTTATAACTTGGAAAAAAGCAGGAAAAATTCAACACCTGTTAACAGTCTGAAACATAGCAAGGCAGCTCACTGAAATGGAAATATAACTATTAGACTACAGAAAATAGAGCAGACTTTAATTTTACAGCAGCATTCTTAGAAGCAGTATCCTAGGTGTGGCTGGATTTACTCCATCCTGTAACTTTCATGGTCTATACTGATGTGCTGTTCGTTACGTGGGAGAGAGAATCCAGAATGAGATGCTATGTGTACATACTGGATGAATAGCTGCCAGAGACTCAGACTGAAATTATTTGCTAAGGCATCTTCCATCCAAAAACCTGCTGAGGTGTATCTGTCCAACTTATAACAGTGGATAACGATGTAGCGAGAAACCACCATATAAAGTAAGCCTGTTATTCCTGTTTGGTCCTTGAATCTGTTAAACATCATCATTATGTTGTACATTAATTTGCTGCTCATCATCTACCTATATGTATGAACTGGTAACATCCATTTCATTGCATCTGAAGAAGTGTGTGTGCACATGACAGCTTATATCTTGAATAAAACTTTATTGGTCTTAAAGATGCCACTGGACTCGAATTTAGTTTAATTAGCAACCTGTTTGCACCTACACCTGTAGTGCATAACATACAACTCAAGGATTGCATGCAGTCCTTGAAGGGTATGCCCTACAGACCGTGTGACCCTAGCATCCATCATCTACCCACCTAGGGGGGATCAGAATATTGCCTCCCAGTAGACAGGTGCAGCATTCTAAAAACTACACATGAAACATTTGCTGTGACCCTGCTATGCATACAACAATGTTTGGGGGAGAGGGCAGAAAGATGCTTTTGCAGTCCCAGGGATGCAACAGAAACATTTTGCCACTACATCTCAGCAACAGGAGACAGGGATCTCCATCTCTGAACAGAAGAGCCACTATGGGAGTCTGCCCCTTTAAAGAGTCTCCATCTGCCTTACAGCTGATTGACAACCTGAGGTAGGGCTCAGACAGTAGGTCCTGGAGGCATCAGTCAGTATGAAGGCTCCCTGCCTCTTGAAGGGATTCCTTCCATGTAAGAAGCAAGGGATAGCAGGCACAATTTGTGATGCTACCTTTAAAGGAGGAATTGGATGTATCCAACCATCCTTCCCCTCTCAGGCATGTGGATGGCACCTCAGATTGCTTTCTTGAGTTGCTTTATTGCACCCTGAGGACTAACAGTTGTAACTGAAGCATGCACCTTTGTGATCTAAAGCCCATTTCAGATGTAAAGTCACTGCACTCTCTAGCCCTTTATGTTTCAGTCCCACTATTTTCCTGCCTCAGTGTGTAAATGTTTTCCCGCCTCAATGTGTGCATATATACATGTAGACTGAGGTTTGAGTTCATGTATCTGATGAAGAAGATTTTAGCCGACGAAAGCTTATGCTGCAATGCATCTTTGAGACACAGTATGTGAGACACGGCGATTCACTCATGATACACAGAGCTGTTTCAGAGAAGCCATGACACCTTCAGAACAGAAGCATCCTCTAAGCAAGAGTATCTCCCTTAACTTTTTGACATTCAGTCAAAGACCAGGGGGAAATGCATGAACAATCACATGAACAGAATGATCTAGAACAGCGGTTCTCAACCTGTGGGTCACGACCCCTTTGGGGGTCGAATGACCCTTTCACAGGGGTCGCCTAAGACCATCAGAAAACACAAATTTTCGATGGTCTTATGATAGCACCGAAAATAATTTTATGGTTGAGGGTCACCACAACATGAGGAACTGTATTAAAGGGTCGCGGCATTAGGAAGGTTGAGAACCACTGATCTAGAAGATAAGAGGGGGGAAAGTATCAAGCTGCAGAGCTGACATGACTGAAATTGGGATGTGCCTCCTCCTACTTGTGGGGTTATAAACTCTGTTCATTTGCATGGTGCTACCTGTAAAGCAACCTGGAGTAAGTCAGCCTGGATTCCCTCCTCCACTGACAACAAAACCTTCCAGCAGGACCACTATTCACCCTATACAGCATCATATGTATCTGTTCTAATACAGATGAGAGGCAAGCAGAGATGAGCATTGAACCAGCTAGGTGAATTTATGAACTTACTTAATTTCCTTTTCAATACCCTGCTGGTCTCTGTTTAAAATTCCAAGCCCCTTTTTCTTCGCTTTTACTATATCTTCAGCATTAGCAATAGCTATTTTCTTAGTTTCAATGTTCGTGGCTTTTGCAGCCAATTTATTCTTGAAAAAGCTAATTTTTTGTTCATTGTGATACAGCTGGAAAAGCTGCAGCTGGCCCTTGCACTCTCTCAGTTCTTCAAAAAGCATCTGGTAACGCTCTGCCTGCAAACACCAAAAAAGCAACAGTTAAAGGGGGTGATTCCTTTCTCCTGATTCCTTCCTCTTGTGTTTGCTGTGAATGTTCATCCTTGAGAATGCCAAAACCATGAAGAAAATCTAAAGTCGGAAGCCTCAGGTTTAAACCAGGGAAAGCAGAGGATTTCATTTGCTGCAACCTGATTCTAGAAATTGTCACACATCATTAAATTAAACAAAGCAGAGAGACTATAGAAAACAAAAATTCACGTGTGTAGCCATGCTGGTCTGAAGCAGCAGAACAAAGTTTGAGTCCAGCAGCATCTTTAAGACCAGCAAAGTTTTATTAAAAGTGTAAGCTTTCGTGAAGAAATGTGCTTACACTCAAAACCAGGGGTTCTCGTGCATCGTGGCCAATAACTCGCACAGGCTGGATCAATCAGAGAAAGATATACCTTTTATTGAATAAAAGTGGGAGATGGAAAAGTTCCAAAGCTTCCCCACATTTCTTGTATGCATTCCTCTTTTATACATTTTCTACTTCCTTTTATAAGCCATATATGTATGTCACGTTTAACATCACTTGTCGATTGGTTTTCAGACATGTATACATTATCTTACTACTCGATTGGCTGGTTACTTTATTTCCTATATGTCATTCCCCTTAGCCCCCATATATGGTACATATCCCATATTACTCTTAGCGCAGACGTAAAGCATAGCTATGTTTTGCCATTTTGTGGTTGACTTATTTTTAACTTATGTTCTTTGTTCTTGTCTGTCAGAGTTTCAGCTGTTGCAAAAGACCCCATATCACAAGCTTACTGTTACTTTCCAGCTAACTAGCCACAAAATGTACCCAAAAAGCAGAACCTTGATCAGTAAACAAGGCCTAGATGTTCTACTGATGGCTACTTAAAAGAGGAATTGCTACAGCTGTTCTCTCCTTGTGTCCTCTTTCTAATTTCTTAGGCCTCTTGCCTTCAGATCAAGATTCCATTAAACAAGTATCAATTTTCAAAAGGTATCAATGTATGTCCCACAAGGGGGCAGGACAAGCAAGACAAGCTAGCAGGGGGGCTAAATGAATGGGAATCTTCCCTGGCAAGTCTTGTGGGTCCATGTTTGTCATTATGCTGTAGACATAAAAAATGAAGTAAAAGGTTATCTTTCATTTCAGTCATTCCACAAAAAAAAAATGTTTTTTGTGCTCCCCAAAATTCTGAGCAAGTCCTTAGACATTTCATGAGGTACATTTGGAATGAATGGAATGCTTTTTTTAAAAAAAGGTTTTTCTCACCCAGAAAGAGAAATATTTTATAGGAACTCTTTTTTTCTAGTGTAAATGTCCCCCTTTTTTTTTGTTGGAAAAGTTGGAAAAAGTCCTTGGAGAAAAAAGGTTTTCTTCCAAATTTTTCTAAGCCTTCATACATCTAGCCACAATAGACCTTTAAAGGGGAAAATAGACAAATATGTTTTACATCTAAAGGGCTAGACAAATATCTGTTTTACATCTAAAGGGCTAGTAACAGCATGAGGTAGCTGGTTTCAATTAGCAAAACTGTGTGTAGTGGAAGTTATAAACCCTCTCTATCATTTTTGTGTGGTCTCAATTTGAACTAGGAAACGTGGTCCCCTTAAAAGACAGTGAAGATTATGTCCTCTACCATGTCTAGTTCAACCCTGAAACCCAAGCAAGACATTACAGCAGCAACAGGTTCAACCTGTAGCTGCTGACGCCATTCTGGAAAAGAATCTGGCCATTTAAAAAGGTATTTTGGCACCTGAAAAGCCATGGGGGAGGGGGGGGGATTGCCTAGTCGCACCGCAGGCCCAATCAGACTCTTGCAGCACTTTGTAAATGACCAAATTCTTCTCTAAAATGGCTGCACCACAAGTCATTGTAATATCTAGTTTTGCCTTGAATGACTGCTTCACAGTATGGGGATAATCAAAATTAAGGAGGAGAGTCAGAACTATACTGCAATTGGACTACCTTGGAAGAACACTGCTAGTGCTTATGCTTATGAACAAAATCAGCAAAACGGGTAAGTCAGAAAATCTTGATCCTAAATCATGGTTTTCCTTTGGGAAAAAGGAAAATGTATGTACATATTACACAAATCACATCAACTAAGAAGCAAAAGTATGCATGCTAAACGCTATATGCAGATATATTAGTCAACTTTAAGCGCTCTAGCCTATTCTTTTGACTTACCTCATCCTTCTCTAACTTTGCACGCTTGCGCTCAGCTGCCACATTCTTCTTCTTACTGTAACTGAACTGAGCATCTTCTTCTGCTTTTTGCATAACCTTTTTCTTTTCTTCATATTCAGTCACAAGCTCTCCTGAATTACTAATTTGTTCCAATAGCTGAGTTCTTTCCTTCGGTTTCTTCATTGCAATTGATTCAACTTCACCCTATTGAAACCAACTGAAACTTAGTCCAGAGAAAATGTAAATTCTGCTGCCGGGGTGGTGGTGGTGTAAAACCAATCAAACATACCTGGAAGGAGCTGATGCATCAACAGTAACATACCCTGCTAACATCCAGATTGGATTACTAGGTCAATGAACTGGTCCGAAACACAAGCTGCAAAGGTTCTTTGTTATACAAAATACACTGGAATCCCAGTCTATCATTAGGCCCATTTCAAAATGTTCTGACATTTAAAAGCACAAAAGGGTGTAGGACTGCAATACCTGAAACCTTCCGATAGTTACAGACAGGTCCTCTTTAAATTGTGGTCCCCAGACTGTGAAATTCCTTGCCCCAGAAAGCTTATCACACCCACCTCCTCTTGGCTTTCCAGAGATTTATCAAAACCCTCTTTCTCTCAAGGGGACTGATTTTTATTCATTAATTTATACATTGCTTTTCTCCCCAATGGGGACCCCAAAGCAGCTTAAAGCACTGCTGTCCTCTACATCGATATATCCACACAACAACCCTTTGTTGACAGGATTAGGCTAAGAGGCAGTGACTTGTCCAAGGTAACTGTCTATGGCAGAATGGGGATTTGAACCTGGGTTTCCCTGGTCCTGTTCCAACACTCCACACCACACTGGATCTCCAGCATTTATAGGTCTTAATCTGATGCTCCTTTCTGCTGCTTTGATTTATACCATTTCAATTGATACTGTTTTACTGTTGACCACTGATTTTATCGCCTTTATTGTGATCACACTCCATAACCACTGCAGAGCTCATAGCATGATGGAAAACTAATTTTCTGAAACAGTAAACCAAATACCAGACATTTACCTGAAAAACCAGGCAATTCCGTGCTCTAGCAATTATGCCAATTTCTTTAAGTTCTTTTGTATATACAGATCGACTGACAGTAGTGCCATTGAAAAGAAATTCAGAGCCATTACCTAATATGGGAATAAACACCAGATTATATATACAAAAAACCACACTGTTAAGTATACCATTGTCCCTCTCATCAATAGCTGGAAAGTGATCCTGAAAAATCTTTCCAGTTGCAGGGAGGGCTAATCAAATTAGCTTGCAGGATATCATCTGCAGTAGGAATAAAACCCACCCAGCTCTTGGACATGGTTCAGTGAATGGAAGCAAAATATATTCATGAACCAGGAAAAAAGTAGAACAAACCCAACCAGGAAAAAAAAGACACTTAAATGACCTTGATACCTTTTGAGACTTGCTTTGTCACAGCTGTTGGATTAATGCACCTTTTCCTAGTCAAGCCCTCAGCTTAGTAATAGCAGGAGAGAAGAAAATGAAGGTGAGAATGACACAGAGAAGAAGGCTTTTTGGAAGGGAAAGGATTAAACACAAAAGAAGAGCCAGTGGGAGAATTAACCATTCTACAAGACACATTTCAACACCAAGGGAGAATAAAGAGATTAATACCAACAGCATTTAATCTGCCAAATAATTGTTGCTATTTGTTGTTGTTTTCTGTCATTGTATTTTCACAAGTCTTTAGATGTAGGCCTCTCATTATATCTTTCTGATATAGCCCACAACCTTGAACAAATTTCCTAGCTATTTTACTACATTTAGTATAAAGCTATTCCTTTACATTAATAACAAATGTTACTATGTATAATACTGTTTCATGCTACTACATCAAAAGGCTTTTGGAACCAATTTAAAAGGTTCTATTGTTTCCACAGAAGCAAAAAAACACTCAATTGCTTAAGATTACTCACCTCGAATAATTCTTGAAAATGTTTTCTCTTCCCCATTTTCCTCACAGTACACCATCGCTACACTTCCAGTTGAAGAAACTGGCTTTCCAACATGTGCCCCATGAATAAGTTCCTGAATGTGTCTCACTCTTAAATTAGATGTTTTTTCACCCATTACAAAGCTAAGGGCATCCATTACATTTGACTTTCCTTCAATTGTATAAAATATAAAAATAAAACATAAAAATTGCACTTTTCAAATATGCGAAATTAGCTGACTAGCATCTAGTTTTTGGCTTTAGGTCTGACTGTATCATACAAGCATTCGCTTTCCAATTATAGCATGTATGTAAGATTTAGGAAAAATGAAATCATTCTCATATTACATTAAATTTATATTGTTTTGAGATTAACCCATCTCGTGATTACTTTCCAGTAGAGAACCATCTTTTAAAAGAACTAAACATATACATGATCTCAATCATATGCAAATCAAAGCTTTAAAAACTTCTATGTAATTAGGCTTATTTGAAAAATGCTAGTATGATAGTGGAATATGCATCAAAATCATCCACAATACTGATTTCTACATGAATCTTCTCCATGAGACAGTTGCAAAAGATTACTACGGTACATGTTGTGATAAATCCCCTCAGCTAGCTGAATTTTGATTCATCTCATGCAAGACACAAATAACCATCTCTTCGTGTTTTACCATATAGCCAGTATTTCCAAAAACTGACATAAAGTCCACAATTGTATGAACATTTTCTTTGTTCTGACTAAATATGCCTAGAATAGGGTTGCAGAAGTACTGTGATGAATAAACACTCCTACAGAGACTCTGACAGGTACTACAGGATTCAAAAAGCTCAGGCTTTTTAAGGCAGATTTTCTGTTTTCTAGAACAGAGTCCAGTGGCACCTTTAAGGCCAACAAAGTTTTATTCAAGGTGCACTTCATCAGACAATGAAATCGTTACAGAAGTGTTTAAAAAGAAGAGGGCCAGTTCTGCAACAGTACCTAATGCATTCCTACAAACTGCAGAACATCATTATTGTTCCATCATCCCTGGCCCTGGAAGAAGGGAACATCAGCGTCTTCCAGAACAGGTAACCCTGAGTAGAGCAATTGTATACCATCTGCAGAATATCATAGGAGAACATCTAGAGCACTTTTGTTAAGTATAATGTTATTTTAATGTTATTGTATTGAATTGATTTTAAATGGTTTTATATATGTTTTATATTGGCTTATACCTCTTGTAAGCCGCCCTGAGCCCTCATGTGCGGGGAGGGCGGGGTATAAATTTGAATTATTATTATTATTAATAATAATAATAATAATAATAGTAGTAGTAGTAGTATAATTCCAACACTGGTGGTCATAAGAACATAAGAGAAGCCAATGTTGGATCAGGCCAATGGCCCATCCAACACTGTCACACAGTGGACAAAAATACCAGGTGCCATCAGGAGGACCAACAGGGAGCCCCTTCAGTTGACAGGCACGAGTACTATTAAATGAATATTGAGCACTAGAACAGACTGCGGTGTAGTGGTTAGTGCTGGGCGATGAAGGTTCAAATTCTCACTCAAGCAGGAAGTGCACTGAGTGACCCTGGAACCTAGAAAGGTAGGATGTATTTCCTCGGTAGAAATTCAAATCTTAGAATAGCAGTTGATAAATTTATAAGGTAAAATGGGGTGATCTTATTTCCTGAGAGGATTTTCAGAGTTACAAGGCATATGTCTTTAGGCAGCCTAGCTGAACTAATCTGATCAGACACAGCATGGTTAGTCAGTTGTTTGTAGCAAACAGAACTAAATATTACAAGAGAAAACACCCGCAGATCCTTACACAAAGAACAAGAAGCCTGTGTTGACAGAAAGAATGAAAGGAAGAAGAACCTAAGGAAGCAGTAGAGCCTTCCAGGTGAACTCTCCAAAGAGTAGTAACAAGGGAGATCCTGTTAGGTATCTTCAAACATATTTTTCTTTATTTCAAAGCGCTATAAGTTGGGTCAACTATAAGCTGCACTGCTGGGCAGAGGGTTGCTCTCCCATATCATTTGCTCCGTTGATGAAGATTCCCCTTTCACCAGAGGTTACTGTTAACCCCAATGGGGGAGCAGACATACAGGAAACGGTAATTTGACTTTTTACCCCCAACAAAGAAATTTGGGAGAGTAATGTTTATAGTGGAAATGATACCTGGGAGCTAGAGTTTAAAACCCCCACCCGGAGTGGAATCTCCCTAACCAGACTGAAGCTATTATGAAGGGTAAAAATTACCTAAAATGTAACTATAAAAATTGCTTTTACCATCTAATAATTACCTTAGAACACTGGTTTTCAAAGGTAATTTGTCCTATAAAATGAGAAACCATCTGCTGAAAGCTTAAATTACTATTTAATTCAGGTTGGTCTCTAAAAAGATTTACAAAAAAAAAGAATCTGTTTACTTAGTTTATATGGTGCCTTTTTTCCCATCATGCAGTTCCCAGGCAATCAACTTCCAAACACTGAAGCTTCAATGTACACCCTCCAACTACCACTTGAGGCAGTTCAGATAAAGACGATCCCTTGGGGCTGATTAAATGTAATGATATGTTCTCTGGGTTATCAAAAAGTGGAGATTCCCCAAAGGGAATGAGATGCTATTAATAATCTGAGAACTTTAGAATTAAGGAAAAGCTATGGCTTGTTACCTGAACCATTAGGACCAATGACACAAGTGAATTTCTTGAATGGGCCAATGCATTGTTGTCCCCGCCATGATTTGAAATTCTCCACCATCAAGAGCTTTAAGTATCCCATTTCTGGATGCACATGAAAATAAAAGGAGCACTATTGTTAATTAATCACTTGGTAGGGTGGGAAGAAAGCTTTGCAACACAAAATCCAGGAAGTTTTCCATCCCACTATTAAGCAAAAGCCAGTCTAAGGCCCCGGTCACACGGCAAAGTTGCTGCGGGAGAGGCACGGACGGTGGGCGGATTATCCAGGCACGATCACCCCCCAAAATCTGGGAAGTGGAGCGCACCCGTGGCTTACCGCCGACAATGCGTGTTAAAAAAAGTTTGCCACAGGCTGCCTCCAGACGCCCGTGGTGTGATCGTGCCAGCGCGTGGCATTCCCCTCCGGTCCCTTGTTTACCCGCCGGCGCCAAGGGAAGGACCCGTGGTGTGCTGCCAGCGCGTTTGATCACGTAACCGCGAATCAAACTGCGCCGGGGCAATTAGCCACGCCTCCCCCCCGCGATATCCGGCCCGTGTGACCGGGTCCTAAGGTTTATTTACTGAAAAATACATACCAAAGCCATAAGTGGCAACCAGTAAAGTTCAACTCTTCACCATTTCTCCCTATTCACGTTAAAAAGAACCCTCTGTTGAGTTTGCCACATAGTGGCCTACTAGAAAGAAGACAAAATGGGCTGCACCCAGCAATGTGCCAACAGAACAAAGGGAAAATGCGGGTAATAGTTGTTGTACAAAGTCCTTGTGTTTCACCATGCAGGACTTAATTGCCATGGACAGTTCCAACACTAGGTGAATGCTCTGATTCTCCATGACAAAGCCTCCATGGCGAAATGCACAGGAACTTTGTACAACAATAAATCAGTCAGCGATCACCTGGTTGGTTTTTTTCCCCCTTTTTGTTCTGTTGGCCTACCAGAAAGCCCACCAAGTAGGCAGTGGAGGAAAATCGCCTCCAACCAACCATATAACTTTGAGAGTAGAATTCCCAGCCTTCAGCTGCATCCCATAAATCTCATTCAACTGAAGTCACCCCCATGCATCAAACAGCTTCTTTACAGCATGGACTGTATGGTATTACACAATGCTGAGTTCCTTCCCCTCTTTTCTAACGTTCAGGCTGTTCAAAATCTCCACAGCAGGGGTGCCCAACTTGGTGCCTATGGGCCCCATGGCACCCACCGACACTTTTCCTGGTGCCTGCCAAGCATTCTTAGAAAGTGGACAGGGCCTTGATTGGCTGTGCAGTTTTAAAACACTGCTTTGGCAGCAGCTGCCACCACAGCAGAATGATCTTCACTCTGTGACCAAAGGTATACTGTTGCAGTTATTTTGTAGCTCGCTCACTCTGTCTCCTGTGGCAATCACTTTATGGCAGCTGCTTCGTATCTGCACCCACCATAATATGTCCACAGGCTCAAAAAGGTTGGGGACCCCAGTCCAAGGCTTTTCTTCTGGGGGAACATGCCGAAACAGTTCCGACACCTCTTCAACAAAATTATTTTTAAAATGTTTAAAAGTTAATGAGTTTTCAGATTGAAAACCTCAGATTTTCAGATTGAAAACCTCATTTCCGGCAACTCTTTTTCTAAAAAACAGCCCTGCCCCAGTCTAAGACTTTTCCAGCCCGGAGGTGGCAACCATAAGAAAGGTCCGTTCTCTATTCCCATACACCCCTTCACAGCCATCAAGGCGGTTATTAACATTTATCCAAGTAAACGCGCCTTTTAGCAGCTGTATAACAAATGAGAACGAAAATCAGGGATATATATATATATATATA